GTAGCTTACCTATGCGGCTTGGAATCTAATTGCGATGAACCAACTTGAATTACAACTAAGTTGAGCCGAGCAACTGCAAATCACTACCGAGAGAGCTTCGACAGTTTTTTCCGCCGACTGAAACCTGTAGGTACGCAAAACGTCAAGTTCACAGCTAACAAAGCGCAACGCCTCCATCTTGTCGATCAACTAAGTGATCACATCGAAATAGTACGTAGCCAGACAGATGTACTTCACCATCCGTGATGTCCTGAGACAGTCATGTTACAGTGAATGCGAGTATATCGGGATAAAATCCATCTATAAGCAAACCTATCTCGCATAACTCGAAGAGCGTTCGGTGCGTCTCGGCGGGTGACTATACCTTTCCCCTAGCTAGAACCTTTACACGGTGTCAGCCTGCGGGATTGTGCGTTTGGACAGTAAACGTCTATCTCGCCCATATATTCATCCTTTTCCGACTTTTCCTTGAGGCGGCTCAAACCTGAGTTTATTGCGACCTAACGATTTCGCTATAACTGGTAAACCAGACCGAAAATTTGGTAAGCCGTCTACTAAAGTATCTTTATAGGTTCGTTAAATTCTGTGACACGTCTTCTACTTTTACATTTTGTGTGCATTTAGTGCTTTATATCGCTTACTTTGTACCTTTTTGCCATGGATGCGTGTAACCTAACTCCTGACGGCCAGGTCTAAAATGTAACCATCGCCACTCCACCATTTCTAGAAAGTAATCAATTGGTATGCTCAGTTTGAAGCACTTTACGAACTGCATGACATTAGACCTGAAAGGAGCATGTAAGCAACAATTCGCTTTGAAGGGCCTTGAGCCAACGCGTATCCAGCCAGTCAAAGAACAAGAACACTGGACAAGATGACGGTACTGTTAACGAACAATTAGGAAGCAATAATAATACAAACCTCAATAGTAGCGCTTCCACTCAACGCAGTTTCAAAGGAATTACAATTCGGTCCGAGACCAACAAAAAAGGTTTTCAGATCGTCAATGCGATACAGAATACAGTATACTGGCTGGCTTGCCGAACAACCTCCTCGTGGTGCCAGCTGGGTGGTTCGGGATTTTCCCGTTCCAGCAAATGGTTCGGCGGCAGTGTTCCAGGACGTGGTGGGTTTTCGCCTGGCAAGCGTTCTCCCTATAAAAAGCCACATATGTCCGTTTAACAACACTGTGACGTGGCGGACGTGACTCGCCACTAAATAAAGTCACTGCCCCTTGCTTCATCCTGGCGAAGCATTGTATTCCAGCAAGTTGATGCTGTAATTTCGGGGAGCATTGGGCCCCTGTTTGGCAAAGGAACAAACGAAAGGCGTATGAACTGATCAATCAGTCACCGGCTCCCAATGGGCGCGATTCCCTGAATTCGCTCCGCTGCCTTGCGGACAGGCTATTCAGCCAAAGGCTCGGAGTGGTGTCCCCTAAGTCAACACCCTACTTCGGCTTGGGCAACCGGGTAGTATTTCGCCCTCTGACGAAACCGTGGACATTGTTGTGTTGTGTTGTGTTTTCTTTTACTATTTCTGTACCTTGTTTTGAGTTCCATGGTTTCCGATGGTGCAATGTCTATTCATAGACTGTTGCAAAAAAAATACTGGTTATATGGGACAAGTGAAGTTCACGCGATTGGTCAAACACAGACCGGATGAAGGCCGGATGCGTGAAATGAGAGTGTGCATGACGACAATTGCGAGGATAATGGCAAAGATAATTGGGGTGATAGTTGGGGTGGTGATGGCAAAGATAATTGGGGTGATAGTTGCCGTGGTAATGTCGAAGTTAATTTGGGGGGGGGGGCGCTAATTGAGTTCGTAGTCCACACTCGAGGGTTGGCGGATTCCGGAGTTGAACACAGGGCATCGAAAATCCTTTTACAGAGCAAATATTTCCACGTAGTCTCAGCGCTTCCTCCGCACGTCCTCGATGACATCGACACTATCCTCCACCTGCTAGATGAGAGGAAAACCTACAAGGAAAAAAAGTAGCGGTTCTCAGAAGAACAGGTCTTTTAGTTCATCAGCGTATCACAAAGTTTCTGAGCGAAACAGAGCTAGGTGACATCAAGCCACCACAGCTATTAGAAAATCATCAACATCATTATACACGTTAGCTACAGGTGTAAAGCACCTCAGCTACTGTGCCGCAATAAATAAAAGAAAAAAGAAAATAAATACAACAGTTGCATGCCAGCTGAGCTACCAGCAACGGATGGGCATCGTTCCGGTAAGCTACCAGCCGGCTACTAGGCAAAAAGGAAATTTATGATGCCAGATTATGTTATGCAACGAAATGAGATCGGGGTTGGAGGGAAAGGCTAAAAGGGGTAGGGAGGGACAAAGAAACTCACAGCAGGAACGCCACTGAGGTCGGCTCCTTGCCATGTCAGCAAGTGTATCCAGCCAAACGTGCTCATCGTCTTTTGGTCCCCAACCAGGGAGCCGTGAAGCTCCAACCGATGCCAGTTCCGAAGTGAGGGCGTTCATCACTCTCGATCAAGTCATCGCTTGGCCACCCCTCCTCTTCTTCCATCCACACCCCGGCGCGCAAACAACGCACGTCGCGGGAGTCGGTAAGCTGGCATACGTAACACGTGTCCGAGCCATCGGAGCCTGGTGCGTGAAATGACAGTGTTGAGCGGTTCATTTCCTTTTCCTGTGCCATAAACAAGGTATCGAACACGCTGGTTGCTCACGCGGTGTTCCCACCAGATGTGAGCCAAACTGCGAAGGCACAGATGGTCGAACGTAACTAGCCTCTTTATGTCCGTTGATCTAAGGGGCCAGGTTTCACAACCGTACAGTAGGGTCGAACGTATCGCTGCATTGTACACTCTACCCTTCAGGGCAAGAGTGATGTCGCGCCGCCGCCATAAGTGGCGAAGGTTAGCAAAAGCACTTCGAGCTTTTGCTATACGGTTCGTGATCTCGTCTTCATTCCCACGGGCGCTGATACAATTTCCTAGGGAGCTGAATTTCTGAACAAATTCGAGCTGATCCGCACCAAGGGCCAGCACAGGAGTCGATCCCTGCCAATCTTCGAGGAAAGCTTTGCAAAACAAAGCCCGAAGTGGCTGACAGCCAAGCTGACGGGCCAAAGTGAAATGGGACATCCGGCACCATGACGATAATCCCGAGACTTAGAAACTGACTAATGAGGTTGCAATTATAAAAAGGAATGTATTGCATGTGTTGTCTTAATAAGTAATATGATGTAACGTTTGTAATGAGGCGGTTTGCTTTGACCATGGTAACGTGTCCCCGGTATTTGCAAAACAAGTAATTGTAGACATGTAAAGATTTTGTAAGGAAGTGTTCAAAAGTTAAGTATCTTTGTCCTATACTAATCTTAAGCCAATTTCAGGTATCATATGATCGAAAAGATACTGAATTGTTATTGGTAATATGTCATAGACGTACCTCGCATCGTGTGCTATACTGGTTCGTTTGCGATGAATTCTTTGGAAGACCACTTTTCCACAACGAGGAATTCGGGCTGGACGAAACGTGGGCGCTGTGAAACTAAACAGATATATGAGACGGCATAGGTGGAACATTGATTCCAAACAGTAAAGGGGACCACCAAATGTATTACTTGACATATGTAACAAATGGACAAATTTGCGAAATCCGTAAAAGTACGCAAGTATATACGAGAAAGGATTTGCCTAAGTTAGCGTCTGAAAAGTGGGAGGAATAATTGAAATGCAAGGGAAGTATCTATTTGTCTATTGAAGTAAAGTATCCGGATGTTAGAGATGGCAACTGCATCTCGAAGTTATCATGTGCAGGCCTTTGGCATGCATTTTATGCAATAGCAGCGCAGGCGGTTCTGTCCGAATTCGCACCAGAACACTGGATGATATGATTCGCAGTAAGACGGAGGAAAAACACGCCGCCGCCATGTTCTTGTAATTGTAGACCACTTCACTAAGTGGTGTGAAACGTTCCCACTACAAAACATAGACGGAGCGGAAGGAGGAACGTACTTTAAACTTGGTTAGTACGATTGGATTCACCTGATCCGTTGTTCTTCGATCGCAGATCGAACCTTGAAAGCATACTTAAGCGTGTTGTGTCAAATTTTTGGCATTCGAAAGACTCCGACCACTGTTTACCCCTGAAGGGGAAGGACCGGTCGAGTGTACGAGTCGCATACTCAAGACATTGTTGCAGGCATTTCTTAACAGTGAGACAGCCAGTGAGTAGAATACCTCTCTGCCTATGTGTTTACTGACCTACCAAGCTTCTGTCCAAAAGCCACATCTCATGGTGATGGTACGAGAGCTGCGACTACCCTCGCACCACGAACCCATGGTCGCATCTGACCACATACTCCGGATGCAATCATGCCTGCTGTCCGCACACCAGTTAGTCCGAGCGCGCTTGCGGAGCTCACAGCACCACTAGAAACCCTACTTTGACTGTAAGGCTTTCAGGACTCTTTACTAACCCAATGATAAACTTTGGCTCAGGGCGCTCGTAACCCCGACAGACGTGCCCGCGAAATTCTATCAAGATTGAAAGGGGTCTTACATCGTACAGAATGTGCTGTCAGATCTGACTTATCGAATCGCGAGGCCGGGTACACCGGGCTTGTCAACTGCCGTACATTCCAACAGATTGAAGGCTGCGAAGAGTGCCCCTGGCGCTGACCACAGCGCCTGTTAGGAGGGGGTTTTCTTGATAGATGTTCTTGTGTTCTTATGACGCTCCAGAATATTCACTTACTGGATCCTCATGTTAAACACTATTTTCAGTCTCAATTAAACTAACGGTGAAACCTACTAGACGGACACAGGCGTTATTGTTTATCTCTCCATCACCTTACCCTTTCTTCCGCACATCGACCTTAACTCTGTCCTGTGCTTGTCTTTCGCTGTCGACCATATGGCAATATCAAGCTCTTCCTATAAACTGCGATCTCTTACTAAAAGGTTGTGATTACTGCATCCAGCCGCCTACAATGTATTAGTTTTCCTTTGCAGCTCCACTGGGCTATTGCGGCCTACTTCACACATTGGATACAGAGAATCACTGAGTCTCAGACCGGAAGCCTACTACACTGCAATGTTGTGCGGTTTACCCATAGCTTCTTACCCGGTCGGTTACGGCAACTACTTAGGAAAAGAAATCACAACCGGGGTCAGTTTCCTTTTTTACATGTGTATTGCTTTCAGACCACATTATTTGCATGTGAATATGATTCCGGCGTGGTCATTGGCGCAGATTCCCGTACCTCTTCTGGGTGAGTTAGGTTTTAGTCATCCTCTAATTTCTGTCCAGATCCTACGTTGTTAATCGTGTCACCGATAAACTGACACCGTTAGCAAACAATATCTTCTGCTGTCGTTCCGGGTCCGCGGCAGATACGCAAAAAGTTGCTGATATTGTACGTTATACCATGGACTTCCATCGGATGCAGATGAACAAAGACCCAACTGTGCTTGAAGCAGCTGTCGCTTGTCGGTCTCTTTGCTATAATTATCGCGACGACCTTACTGCTGGCCTGTTTGTTGCCGGATGGGACAACTCTCTCGGTGGACAAGTAGCTAGCATTTAACATTATTTACACTTACAGATTTACTCTATTCCTCTTGGGGGGATGCTTCTCAGGCAGCCAGCCGTTACTGGAGGCTCCGGGAGTACTTACATTTATGGTTACTTTGACAGAGAATTCCGTGAAAAAATGTCAAAAGAAGATTGCATGAAGTTTGTGTCCACCGGTTAGTGCTTACTTCCATATCCGTCTCTGTATTGTTACATTTCCCTGAAGCATGTCATACCAATAATTGTTGCAGAGTAAAGCGAGTGGTTTACCGCTATAGTATACTCCTACCCGTAGCCATGTTTAAGTAGCAAAACATTTCATTCTGAGAACAGAGGGATATAAGCAGCACACCGGTAGATCGTACCGATGCTTCGCTGTCACACGGCCACCAACAATCGCGCGCAGGCTAATGACATCGCGTTGACACCCAAGGTTATGTAAGCTCGAACCTTTACCTCTTGCTTGCAAATTAGACGCTCTATCCACTCGGCCACCGGCCCACCTCCATTGCGTACGTCTCGATTTCGGGAATCAGTGTGCCGTTTATGGCGAAAGCGCTAACCGTGTATGGTGGACAAATAAAACACGATGTGAACGCAAAATGTTTTGTTTCAGATAATGCTTTACAGCTGGATTTAGCAGCCACTATGGCGGCAGCGGCGTACAAAGCTATATCGGAAATGTAGTGAACGTGCGCACTTGTATATTTGTATGAATATGTACGTACGTATGTAATGTCATGTATCAGGATACATTGTCAGCCTCACCATCTCCAATCAGTGCAAGGCGGATGCTTACTGCTGCGACATGATGTTCCACAGTGGGCCGTTACAGCAGGGTTCCAACGCACTAGGCAAGGGACTTCAAAAGCCCCATGAAACATTCCTCAGTAAGAGCGAGGAATACAGGCTCCGTTAACTGCTTCCAGCCTTTCACTATCCGGGTGAATAAACTGACCTCGGAATGGGCTTGGAGTCCCGGTTTAATTAGTTTCCACCTTTGCTCGCTTGTGGAGCTGTCTTTGTTGAACTGGGGGAATTGTTGAAACACACTACCCAGTTTCCTACTGAGAATGCGTCTGGTGCAAGTCAGATTTCCACGACAATAGTCTATGGAGAACAGATTCATCCTTTGGAGTCTAGCGGAATAAACCAAATCGCAAACCACCAAGACTAACTTTTTTTATCTCGCCTCTAATTTTATTAGGTTGCACTTATTTTGTGCGGAGATAGATCGTTGAAAAACCATACCTGAGAGTGGAGAGCACCTGTGAATGAGCACTATTTTGAAAATTTGAATAGCAATCTTATGGCTCAGAACTTCTTGTTGGCTGCAGTTACCTTAACGTATCATGTATTGTTCATAGATCAGAGGACACAATGACTCCGAAGCCATTCTCTCAGGCGGCATTCGTGAATAGAGGACCATCGATATGGTAGGTAGCGAGTGGTTTAGGGTCGTCAACTAAAGAAACAAAGAAAGTATCGCGATTCGTAGGTGACCCTCCGACAACGGACCAATTCTGCCGCATGTCAGGTGTCGCTTACATTATGTCTGCATCTCAGAGACTTGACCTCCAACCACAGTTTCAAGTCGTCAACGTAAATTAACCGATTAGCTTGCTACACAATCGGAAGGTCGTCTATGGAGATCTTGAATAATTCCGGGCCTAGAACCGATCGCCACAGTACCCCATCTGACCTAGCCCTTTAGCTGACCTAGACCTTTGAACTTTACTCTTCTCTGCTGTTTTAACTCACTTTATTCCTATCAGTTGTGGTGTGCAAGTCTGACGAGATCCACCGAACCGAGCTTGTTCGCTGACTCTTGTTTTGATGTCTACCCTTCACTAATTATCGGAACGGGTGAAGAAAGGGCGTATTCTTCACTTCATGAACTTTTTACTACGGGGTGCACCAAGCGTCTCCCTCGACTGGCAACAGAAATTCTCTCAGCCCTCGGTCAGTCAAACCTATCAGGCTACACTGCGTACCGAACATTTTCTCCCATGTTCTAATGACAACTTCAGTGGAATAGGATTTCGGCCACCATGCACGACGCAGGAACATTTGCTTGTGGTATTATCAATCGTCACCGCATCAGTTGCTGAATATCCGAGAGGTCCGTAGACCTGTTGGAATTCAGAAGAAACCTCCCCGTTGGCTCTTAGCACATTGTGACCATGCGAACTGTTAGGCGGGAACTAAAACGGAGCCTGCGTGTTGACAAAGAAGCTTGGCGGACCAGTCGGGCCTAGGTAATGGAGAAGGTAGGAGCAGTAGGCAATTATCGCAAGCTCATCCGGCTAATCCACACCACTGGTCCCAGAAAACCACGCATCAGTGAGACAGCGCGGGTGCCATGATTCCAAATGAGAAGCACTTTCAAGGTCAGTTCAGTTGACCCCCTGCTTCTGGACCTCTTCCTATGCAGGTGTTGCAAGGTGACCTATTGACGGTTAGTTTAGAAGCTCCGTCGGATGCTGAGGTCCGAAACGCAATAACAGCCCTCAATCGTTTTCGTGCATATATATATATATATATATATATATATATATATATATATATATATATATATATATATATATATATATATATATATATATATATATATATATATATATACGTAATGATCACAATCTGTGTACATATATTGTGTTATCGGAACCATGGCGGAATAGGGTGACAGGGTCAGACTAAAACAAGAAAGCAAACAAGCAGTTGTTCATTTTCTTACCGTTTTTTATTTTGCGCGGGAAGAGGAATCACCGCAACAAGCAGAGATACACGACTACCACTGAGTTCGGTTTTAATCCATGACTTTCAAGCTTTACGAACAGTGGCACTCAGCATCTTTGAGACCCTATACAATGAGTTGAAAAACTACTAAACGAGGCCAACTGTCTTGTCAGCTTTTTCATCCTGCTTCTCCAAGTTGTAAGCTGTCCACCACGCCGCTTCCTCCAATCCTTCCCAGTGACCGCGAACAAGGCACGACGCGAAGGACGCTGAACGGGCATACGCAGTACGTGTCTGAGCCATCGTAGTTGACACAGCGAGACAAGCGCCTCGAGAGGGTGGCTGCCTCCATTCAAGACACGCTGACGGGCGATGGATCGCAAGGAACGGTTCTCGCAGACAGACAGTCGGCACAGGTCCTCGGTACGAGCAGACCAGTACAGCGCGGACGGTCGCACTAAACCCACCATTTGATGAAGGAACAGATGTCATGATGACGCCAAAACTGCCTCAGCCTGGAGAAGGCGGGACTAGCTCTTGAGATGCGCTTCGGAACCTCGTCTCCCACAACCCAACCAGCAGTGATGCAGCTTCCCAGGTAGACAAAACTCTGTACAAGGATGGGAGAGAGCCACACCGAAACCCTACACTTCGGTGACGGTCCCAGTGACCGTATTGGCAGAGGCTGACTTCAAAGTCAACCGACGCCACGAGTGAGATTGCGCGTCGCAATCCAAGACACACGGCGGGTGCTCCAAAACCCGAAAAAGACTGTACCACTTTCTGCACCTCACCACCGATGGTGAGTGTAGGTAGGGCGTCTGCCAGTCTTGAAAAAGCGCTTTGCATTTAGATGGTGAAAAGTACATGCCATACTTCGACACTATAATCGCCAGGTAGTTAAGTGCAAGTTGGACGGCCTGCGGACCATCACCCAACAAAACGATATCATCAGCGTAATCCAAAACAACCACCCGACTAACTGGGATGAACTCAACGCCGGCGTTCTACAAGTCTTCGAATGCATTTTGAGGACTTCCTCAAATGCAAAATTAAAGAGGAATGGAGTGTTTTGGAAAACTGGTAGCTCCGGTTGATAATTCAGTTGCTCATTTGTTCGCCGAGCTGCGAAATTGGTTTGCAAACGTTTCACCGCCAAGGGAGACGGCATCATCAGTGCGTCGAGATGTGGAGTGTAATCTCAGCGAGATTACACTTAATTCTCTTTCCTCGCCTCACTACGGAAAGGGGATCCCGGATATTGAAGAGCAGACGGGTTTCCACACAGGACGGAGCTGTACAGGCCATATACTCACTTTACGGCCGGTGCTAGAGCAGCGTCACCGTTACCGCAGGCCGACAATAGCTGTGTTCCTCGACTTCAAGAGTGCATTCGTCCCAGTCGATTGATGCATTCTGTTCGAAATTCTTATGCAGTATGATGTTTCCACGAATTATATGAACATTTTGCGTGCTCTATTCTCACACCTTACAGGCCGCGTCAGGGTCTACGGTGACCTGTCGGATATCTTTCCGATAGCAAGTGACGTTCGTCAGGACTGTCCAATTTCCCCATTTTATTCAATTTCGTGGACTCCATCATGGAGCTTCCCCTTACGGAGTATCACTATGCAGGCGTTGAGGTGCTGCCTGGTTTAATACTTGTTGATCTTGCTTATGCGAACGATATTGTCTTATTATTTAATGAAGCTGGGGCGGCACAATCAACCCTGAATAGCCTCTCTAGAGTAGTCCCATTATTTGGTATGCGCTTCGCACCTTCAGATTGCAGTTTTATTGCAGGACCACCAGACACTTGATCACTCCTTGATCCTTTATGGCGAAAAGCTTGAGGTATTTGATCAATTCACTTACCTTGGCTATCTCGTCAGCAATGATGGGCGTATAAGCACCGAAGTTACTTCACATATTGCAAAAGCCAGAACTGCGTTTTTGCATCTGCGACATTTGCGTTATCGACTAGAGGTTTCCCTTCGTCTAAAAAGCCGTATTAATAAGTCCACAATGAGGGCCGTCCTACTCTATGGGAGCAAGACGGCCTCTCCGATCTGAGGACCTGCGGCGCATTCAAGTTTTTGATCATCGTTGTCTTCGAAACATTGCTCGTGTCGGATGGCACCAGCGTGTCCGAAATGATGATGTGCGTAAGCGATTACTAGGCAATGATAACCAGGCTAGTTCCTTAGAATAACCGATAGCACTAGAGAAGTTGTTTTGGCTTGAGTACGTACTACGTCTGTCTGCTCACCGTTTACGGAAGAGGACGTTGTTTTGTTAGCCAGATGTAGGACGCCTCAAGGCCCGATGTGGGCAAAATTTACTTAGCAGCGGGAAGTGAATTCACTGACGACTAAACTCGATGCTGTTTGTCCGTCTCGCCTTCCAGTCTGGAATCCACGTGACTCGCCTTGTGCTG